TGGATTATAATGTCGCGATAGTGAGCACCATTAACTGTTATTGCCTGAGCAGCCACATTTTCGAAGAAGAATGGTCCGATGATGCCTCCAGCCCAAAATCTGCACCAAACAGTGACACGTTGTGGATGCATTTGTTTCTCAACAATCACTCGTGGATTTTCTGAACCCCAAATGCGACAATTTTGTCGATTAATCAAGCCATCAAGATGAAAATGAGCCTCATCGAAATTCAACCACATTTATGCAAAACGGTCATGGAAAATTTGAACAAAAGATGCGTATGTGCCAGCAAAACCGTGCAGGCCATTTACCCGATGTGCTATGTCCATACATAACCCTATACTGTATACTTTATGAATCAATAAAAAATTTACAATTTTTAATTATAAACCTGTGTTTTCTGTAAAAAAAAAAAAATTACTTCTTGCGTGAATTTTGGGACACGTTATTCATGGTAGACCATTGATGCAATGCCTAATTTTGACTTTGCTCTCACAAAATAATTTTGCAGACTTGTTATTCTACAGAGTATTTCCTTTATCTCTTCTTGTTATTCTTTTTCTCACCCAAGGATATGTTTTTATTGATTTGAAAGAGACAGGGAGAGTTAGAGAGGAAAAAGGAAGAATTGGAGAGAGACAGAAACATCAGTGTGAAAGAGAAACATAGATTGGTTGCCTCCTATACATGCCCCTACTGGAGATTGAACCTGCATCTTGAGTGTGTGCCCTGACCAGGAATTGAACCTGAGACCTTTTGATGTCTAGGACGATGCTCCAGCCAGCTGAGCCACACCAGTCAAGATTTTTCTTTCTCTACTTTTTTCTTCTTTAAACTGATTTTAACATAACAGTAAAGAAACCATTGAAATCTGAACACATTCTCATTAATACAAAAGTTATAAACCAAGAAATACAAACTGTTTGAAGAAAGACATTCCCATGTTACTCTGTCATTTTAAATTGCTTAGCTGATGATAAGAACAAGAATTATATGGATCAGATCAATTTTCAGTATAAGTAATAGTTTCCCTTGTTTTTTGTGTGTAACCATTGTTTTGTTTAGCTGTTTTTTTCTTTTATCAAAAGAACCCACTTGCTGAATTTCATATTTCTGTTTATGACTATAACTTGTCTATTCCAAAAACAACTTGAGGAGGCTTATAATAAAATCTAAGATAAAATAAAACCAAAAGTATTAGTCCAAATTTAAAACAACTTTTATTTGGTTTGCATTACACTGCAACCTCTGGATCCTTTCTTGTTAGAAATATATAGTTTGCTACTTTAAATTTATTTTTTTTTATATTTGCCTTTAAGTCATTAATTGTTCACATTGCTTTGAATGATCTGTAATGCATTGTTAGTCAGACTACTGATGTCAGATCAGGTCCCAGCTCCTGCACTTGTTAGTGTCAAAAGTAAACTAGGTGGATAGTAAAGTGGTAAGGCAGACTTCTTCAGTGTTAACTATTGCAATAGGGAAGAGGTGTGAACTGAACTCAGCTTTGCTGACACAAAAGACAGGAGACCTTTTAAAGGCTGGGTGTGTTAAGAGATAGGGACTGAGGGGTGTTGGGGTAATTGGTCCATGTGACTTGGCTTTCTTAAGTAACTGCACTAATAAGAAGGGTGTTCAGAAGCCTGTCTGCCTATTGTCAGGTTTTGGTTAGAATAAACTAAAGTTACTTAACCTTGGTTTACCTCAGTTTCCTCATCTCCGCAATGGGGATAATAACATTACCTATATCATAAGAATGTGTCTTAAGGAATAAAATAATTAATACATGTGAAGTGCTTAGAACAGTAGTGGCACATATTAAGCTCTCAATTAATGTTGTCTTTCTTAGTATCTTTACAATGGAGTTCATAATACAGATTATCTGTCATATTGGATTGCTTTATTTATTAAATGATATAATACAAATAAAACGTTGAGAACCATGCCTGGCATATTGTAAGCATTCAATAACTGTTGGCTAGAAATAGTAATGATAACAATAGCAGTTATAAACTGTAGTAGCCACTAAATATCTTCCGGTAGTGATTTACTCATCACCAAGGATGAGCAAATAGAAAAGAATCTTGAGCTTATTATTTTTTTTTGTTAGAACAGAGTAGAAATATTTTGTAAATTAGTAATTCAGAGATTGGAAAATATTTACGAGCAATCTTGTACATGATTGTGAGATCTTTGAGCATGATTTTGCCAGTATATTTCGTGGGTTTTAGATACACAGTTCACATCTCCTGTATTTATGTGGCTTAACCTCCTTACTGTGAAACCTTCAACATTTCCTTCTTAGCAAAATAAGAGTGAATTGAAATAATTATGAAGTCTTTTAAGAAATGAAACAGTTTTCTCAAATGAGAAAAAATGGCATATACAAAAGTAGAAATGAAGACTGAACCATATTTCTATTATTTTTCAAATTATAATATACTTGCTTTATGTGTATTTGAACCTCCTTGAATCCCAGAACAGAAATAAAATAAGAGGTACAATTCTGCAATCTTTTGATGCTAACCAGTAGGTTTAGAGAAACCCAAATGATCTCTATTCATGTTGTGTAGTCTCTTGATCCAGCACTGTGCAGTGATAATCCATGAAGTATGAATTATTAAATGAGTTGTCTCTATTTGTATTTGGTATATTATCAACCATAGCACATACTTTACTGAATATGGATTTCTGTTAAGGAAGAGGAATGCATAGATCAAAAGAAGCTCATTCCCCTTAAATTGCAATTTTTATTACTAAAAATTCTTGATGTTAATATATTTGATAGCAGAAAAGTAGTCATTTAGATAAAAGACCAATAACTAGAAAAGAAAGAATAATTGAATTAATGTTGATTTCTTTAATAAACTACATAAAATGTTTAAATTAGAACAACCAAATCCTATATAATAAAGAGGTAATATGCAAATTAACCCACATACCCTCACAAGATGGCTACCTACGACCAGGCCAGCAGAGGGGTTAGTGAGGGACGACCAAATGACTGAACAAGCAGGCTTCATGGGGCGACAGACCAGCAGGGGGGCAGGCAGTTATGGGAGACCAGGTAGGCAGGCACGTGAGCGATTAGGAGCCAGTGGTCCAGGATGTGAGAGAGATGTCTGACTACTGGCAGTTGGACATCCCCCAACGGGTCCAGGATTGGAGAGGGTGCAGGCGGGACCCTCCCTTGTGCATGAATTTCATGCACCAGGCCTCTAGTATAATATATTTTAACACCAGCTTTTACTCATTGTACTTTTCTAGTTAACATTTTGAACAATTGTAAAGTGAATAAGGAAATTAAATTCCTAATTTTTCAAATAGCAAATCTGTTCAAAACCAATTTTCTAGCATTTTAAAATCAGATGCATTAATAAATGGTATCACTCTTCATATAAGCATCTAAAATGTTGCCTCTTAACTGTGCCCTACTAGAAATATTGCTCATGATAATTGGTTTTATAAATAGGATTTGAAGAGTCTTAGAAAAACTTTTAGACTACCTAAGTTCTAGCATTAGCCCCTTTATGAAGCTAAAGGGGCAACTTCACCTGTGTGCTCTAGTAGTTCTTTCTCAGCCATATAATCTGTGCTTTGACTAGTTATTATTTCTTCTTGACTAGCAGCAATTTAATTTGAGCTTTGTCTTTCTTTCCTTAACAGTCTGATACATACTTCTGCATGTCAATGCGTTTGCCAATGGATGAGGAAGCCTTCGTGAGTAAGTAATTGGATGGAGTAGTGGTTGGCATTTGAAGGGAGGGCAAGCTATTTGAAATCAGTGAAAGGTCCTCTTTGATGGTTATGAGCGTATTAATCTTTTACTGTCAGTTTCTAAAATGCATTTATCATGCCTAATGTGGAAACCAACTAGCGAGAGCCACTGAGAGATAGGATTACAAACTGTATCTGGAGAGATGCATGAGTAATAGTAGTTAAGCAGTTGCATGCAGATGTCAATGGCTGCCAATACCATGTGGTCCCATTTGTATTGTATTGACTTTCTGTCTGTGGCTGGATGCTTAATTCTGCTTCACTCAACAGACTGTTTATTTACTTGCTGGGTCATGCTGTAAATCGAATGCACTTAGAGTCAACATTGGAGAATGTAATATTTTACCTGTTAGGTAAATGGATAGGAAGGGAGGAAGGGAGGAAGGGAGGAAGGGTCAGGTTAAGTAATTAGAAAAGAAAGACAGAAAGATAAAAAGGAAGGAAGGAAGGAAGGAAGGAAGGAAGGAAGGATGGTGGGAGGACGGAAGGAATGTTGTTCTTGTTGTCTGTATTACAGAATAAGATGACTTGTAAATGACAAGCCCTTCCCTAACTGGATCTTCAAATCAAATAGGAAAATGACAAAGCGCCATCTGTTTACATCTAGGTTGTTTTAATTTAGACCTGCCTTATGGCAGATGCTTAACTGTTTAGGTGTGATTGGAAAATTATTCATGGATTTGTTTTTTCCTCTTACTTCACTTTTCTGGTTTGAATTGTTGGTTTTGGAGAGAAAGTGATGATAATGAGAGTTGTACTTCGGTCCCTTGAAACTAATCTTCAAGTGGGCTGTCTGAAGCAGCTATTGTTTGGATTGTACAATGTGTACAGTAGCCTTGAAGCCGGCCGAGGATGAATTTCCATGAGGTGCTCCCCACAGGAATATGCACTGTAGACCTGTAAGGCCAGAGCAATGTGCCTTTATTTTTCCCCCACATATATTGGTGGTAATCACAACAGAAAATACACCTATAACAAACTCTCTAAACAGAATTTCCTCCATGGTTAATAGCTAAAGATGAAAATCAGACCTTGGGAAGTTGACAGAAGTTGACTATTGCCTGATTGCTGTTATTCTGTGTAATAATTAAACATCACCAAGAAAAAAGTTAGGACAGTGTTCCCAGATCCTGAACTTTAACTCTAGAGACAGAAAATTAATTTAGATTCCTAATTGTAGTATGCAGAGCAACACCAAATGTGATTTAGGTATAACTAATTAAAATGTCAATATTAAAAATCTCCTCATTTCATAGCCACATGTTTGGCAATCTATGAGAAAATAATAATCTATAATAATAAAAGTGTAATATGCTAATTAGACCTGGCAGCGGAACAACCTTCTGGACGTCCTTCCAGACAACCTTCCAGACAAAGCCGCAGCTGCAAAGGCCAAGGCAGCCGCCGCAGCTGTGAGGTCCAAGTCCCTTGCACGAATTTTGTGCATCAGGCCTCTAGTTACTCATAAAAAGAATTTTACATGAAGGTTTTTTCCTTACTAATTTTATGTTTTCTCTGTGCAAGTTCAGAGATAGTCTTGCTTCCTCCTGTTTCACACTTGCTTTGAACGAAGGCCACTCTGCACATCTGTATTAACATGAAGGTCATGTTTAACAATAGGACCACAGGTCTCACATTAATACTGGTTACTGGTTTGTTTCTGGAGGTTAGTGGTGGTATATGATTTCAGAGCTGGGGACTATAAGGACTATAAATATATATCCTGGAATATGTTATTGCTCTCTTAATATAAATGTGTTTGCTTTTACATAATTTAAAATTGAAAAGTACAAGTGAATATATTCAGTCAAGAAAAATATTTGCAGGAAACACATAAAGTGCTATTGTAGAACCAGGGTACTAAACATTTCTGCATTTTCTCAGGCAACTCTCTTCTAAGATTAAACTGTTCCCAGTTCTAAGGTCCTTAAAGGATCTTATACAATTAATAAGTCATTTTAGTATTTCTTCTCTTTTTAGCTGGGAGGATTGTATGAATATTAAAGATTTTGTCCCTTTTTCTAAATAGTTTCATTTTCAATGTGAGTCCTTTAATGTACAACCCCCAGGTGATTTGTGATTACCATTATTTGCATAATCCAACCACAGAAATTTAGGTGGAGGCACCTAACATAGAAAACCAAAGAGAAGTACCACAAATTACTTATATAAGGGATTAAGTTAAAGGAAATGTTGCATATATTATCTCATTAATTCTTAGGATGACCCTGAAGTTAGTCCCATTTCAGAGTTAGAGAAACAGAGACAGGAACATCAGCGTTCTTGATTTAGTTTGGTGTTAGGACAATAGTTTGTATGGAATCTGTGCTTATATAATCAGCCCACCACTAGCCCTTGTTTACCAATAGCCTACCAGACACCGTATTTTTAAGCCATTTTACCAAAGAGGAAACAGAGTCAGAGAGGTTAAGGAACACCCCCACGCTTTTTGCTTGCTACCCTATGTGTATGCCATTTAAATCCTAACAGATTTGTGTGTGAAGAGAGTGGTACAGGGAAGAAAGAAAAGAAGTTATCAAGTGGATAGATGGAACTGAAATACAGTAATAGCACATCTCTCTCTTCCTCACATCAAATATAATTATTCTTTCATTCCCTTACCTTCACTCCCTGCTGGGAACACTCTGGTCAACTTTGCTCACAAGTAAGTAAAACTCATGAGAGAAATAAGAACCATCTTACGAAATAAAACCCAATACACATGAAAGATTTGCAAAAGGAAAAGGGCTTGCATGTTTAGATTGTATGTTGGGAGAGTGATCATACATAACTTTTCCCGACTCCCAAAGTGAAAGTTTGGTAGTGGTAACCAAGGCTTTTTCATGAATGCAGTCTTTTTGTGGGTTGTCCTAAATTCTTCCTGCCCGCCCTGCCCGCCCCGCCCAAGGCACGGCAGGCCAGGATCTCGCCTTGGGCGGTGCAGCGTGATCTGCCTGCAGTATGCAAATTAGCCACCATCTTTGTTGGTGGTTAATTTGCATATCTCGCTGATTAACCTATGGGAGGCGTAGCAGAGGTACGGTTAATTTCAATCTTTGTCTATTATTAGATACGATGCCTTTAAAATTTTTGAATGCTAGCAGGACATGTGCCATAGGGTGTGTAGGGACTCAGTAATTGTTTGCTTAATACATGAGTGAACACTGAAAAAGTGTTTTGTTTATTTGGCCATTTTCTAAGGCAACATATCAAATAGCAGCCAATTTATCTTTTTGCCTTAAATTATATTCTTGTTTGAATGTAAAGAAATATGTATTTTTTAAGAAAAGCCACTTGTTCATAAATTCTGCTGTGTGCCAGTTAACGGGAGTGTGAGGTGTGACACAAATTCAAGGAAACCCCAGCCTGGCAGAATTCTGGAAGGCATGACTACACATGTCAGAACATATGAAAAGGACTTTCTCCTTTTGCTTTTCAGATTTCTGGGGGAGGTGGGGGGGGAATCACAAAAGGAAGAGTACAATTCAGATTGCTTATTAAGACTAAAACAGTCTCCTGATGGTGTTAAAAACCAAAGTTGCATTTGAAAAAAATCATAAATTGGGCTTTATGCTTGTGTGACTAATTAGGTAATCATTATATCTACACTAATAAAAGAGAAATGTGCAAATTTACCATACCATCACAACACCCGCCAGCCAATCAGGAGTGAGTATGCAAATTAACCCAACAAAGATGGCGGGTTAATTTGCATATGCAGGTGATGAGCGCCAGGAGTGGGGCGGAATGCTTGTGTTGTTGCCATGGTTACAACGCAGGCATTCTGCACTGCCCCAGCCGCTCAGGGCCTCTAGGCAACTTGGGAAAGCAGAAAGGTGGCTCTGGCCAGAGCGAAGGCGTGCTGGCAGCCAGGGGAAGGAAGCTCCATTCTTGCACGAATCTTCGTGCATCGGGCCTCTAGTATAAACATACTTCTTAATTTTGAGAAAACATCATCACAGTTGTCATGGAACTTATATGTGCATTGCCTTCATATTTACATATGAGCATACACAGTATTTGATGTGTTCATTTGTCTGTGTTGAATTATTAAGTATGAATTAAAGTGGGTGTTTGAGGAAATACTAGCATGAAGATAAGTATAATTTGTAGCTCTCCCTAGAGCATTGCTTTTGTTTATTGTTTTACTAAAAATTCCAGAATTGGGATGGTGAAGGTCTGATAAAATCTGCATTTGACCACTGAACTGTGAGGCTGTCTAAAAGGTGTTTTACAGACACTCAGAGGAATTGGCTCTGACAGCAGCCCATTCAGCCAAGAAATTTGACTGTCATCGTCATCCAAAATCATAGCTCTCCCTAGAGCATTGCTTTTGTTTATTGTTTTACTAAAAATTCCAGAATTGGGATGGTGAAGGTCTGATAAAATCTGCATTTGACCACTGAACTGTGAGGCTGTCTAAAAGGTGTTTTACAGACACTCAGAGGAATTGGCTCTGACAGCAGCCCATTCAGCCAAGAAATTTGACTGTCATCGTCATCCACTTGCTTTCCTTCACATGGATGACCAGTAAATAAATGTGTCTTTTCCTTAGTGAATGATGGCAGGTCCCTATCTATCAAAATGCACTATACAAATGAGATAGAAGCCATGGAATATAGAAACAGATGAAATCAATCTAATGATTTGTTGCTTTTTGTTTTCTTGGGTTCCTCCCTTAAATGTAGAACAATTTCTGTTGCAGAATTGCACAGTTATACTTGAATATTTCCAAATGTGGCCTTTCTTAAACAAAGCACACGTTAAGATGCTGAGATACTTCAAAACCTGCAGGGACAACCTAATTTTGATCAGTTCATGGGTTAGTGCATAGTGTGACTATGAAGATCAAGGTCTGGCACAGTTATAACGGTCATATATCCACATTTTATGGTTTTGACAGCAGTAAATAAAAGTGTGTGTGTGTGTGTGTGTGTGCTTTGACAG